TCAAATAAATAAATAAAATCTTAAAAAAAAAATTTTAAAAAGTACATGACTTTGAAATCATGTATTATAATTTTAAAACTTTAGATTGAGTGAAAATTTGATGAAATTAATTTTGTGTGGTCAGATTTCTTCCTACAAAATCCACAGTAGTATATATTTTAAATATATCTTGCTAAACAGTCTATTTAAAATAGTAGTTTTAATTTATTTGTAAATGTACCTATTTCTATAATTAATTGCGATGTTTCTCAAAATACTGTCCACAAAATACTTGCTTCAAAAAAGTGTGAAGCACTAGTTTTAAATGCAGAGACCCCAAGATTCCACTCCAGGGCTGGATCAGAATCTCTTGGAGTGAGGAACCTGGAAGTATGCATTTAAAACAAGTTTGCTCAGGTGACTCTGATATAACCAGACTTGAGAAACCTATTGGGTCTATCTGAAACCATGCCTCACTATATTCTCAATGTTATGTTGGAAAGAAAAGTCGCCAAATGGTTTTTCCCAAAAAACATTGTTTCCAAATGTTCATTCTTACAATTTCTAAAGTGCCACTCAACAGAAAATTAAGTCTGTTTCCAAATCCCAGGATATTTCAGCTCAATTAACAAATGAAAGGGGTTATTTTTCTTCTTATACCCTGTTGTCCTAAAGTGTCCTGAGCAAAAAAGCCTATGGTACCCACTTCGCACCTCGGGACACGAACCTCTGCTTTCCACACGTTACAATATTGAATCACGACAGCATGAACATAGCTCTAAGTGACACTGGGCTCACTAGCCTTCTACTCTCCTGGCAGAGCGGCCCCTTCCGAGAGCCCGCCTGCGGCCCAGGCCCTCCCGTTCTCAGAGCCGCCAGGGCTCCGTCAGCACCTCCGACAGCGACTGGCGGAGCGGGGTTCCGGGATTCACTGCCAAAGAGATTGACTTTAGAGAACCCACTGAGACAGAGGAAACTGACCGGAAACACCCTAGAATACACAGACCACTGCCCCTGGTCCTCTTCAGCTGCCAACATCTCTTTCCAAAAGACAACAAAGGAAACCGTAAGTACCTCTTACCTAGAATATGAGCCACCCTCACAACTCGCCTCTCTTCCCCGGCTCCCCAGCGCCTGTTGCTAAGGAGGCGAGACGGCACTTGGGAAACCTCAGGACCAGGTGACAAACCGCTGGAGGAGCTGGGAGCACGAGGGCTGCGGCGAAAGCCGAGCGCTAGGCCGGCCCAGGACCCCTTCCTTCCGCAGGAAGGGTGCGCCCTCCTCACAGCACCGACGCCAGCGACGCCCCGACGCCCCCAGCGCACACCGGGCGGATGGAGGGAGCCGCACGAGCTGGGGGCTGGCTCCCGGAGAGCCGCTCCCTCTGTGGGCCAGGGAAGCTCGGCCCCGTCAGAGGAGGCCTCTGGCCCAGTACTGTGGGCCCAGACAGTGGAGCAGGGGCTCGGGGACAGCCCTGGGGAGGGCCGGCACTCACCATGTTGACTTCGGAAACCATGTCTATGCTGGCGATGTCGATGTTCATTCCCACGCAGACGGGGGGACCTGCGGGAAGAGCACGACACACTGATCAGCCAAGCTCGGGCACGGGGTGCGGGTGGCTCTGAGGATAGGGGTGCCTACCCGAGGAGTGGGAGCAAGGGAAATGCCCTCCACCCCCCCTACTCCGCCGCAGCTCGACTTAAGCACCTTCCTCCTCCCTCCTCCACCCAGGCCGCCAGCGCGGTGGGTCGCGCTTCCCGCAGCGGCCGCGCACACCCCGCTTACCCCCGAAGTCGGGTCTTAGGCGAATGTCGTAGCCTTTCAACAGCTTGTCCACCGTCTCCTTCACAAAGGACATGTTCCCGGGATCGTTCACGCTGGGGGAGGGCGCAAGGGGTACAGATAGGAGGGTCAGGCGGCTGCTCACCCGCCAGCGACCGGCGCGCACACCCGCGCGCCCTGCCCGCCGCCCGGCCCGCTTCCCGTCAACCCACCCGCGACCCTACCTCTGGGCGCAGCACACCACCGCCACCAGCACTGGGGCCGAGAAAATGCCGAAAAGCCTTCCTCCCGCAAAGCCCCACATCCCTCCGCCGCGCCCCGGCACGGGGGAGGGGGCGCCCCGCCGCCGTCGCGACCCGCAGCCGGGGCTGCTCCTGCTGCTGCCGCC